AGAGACATGGAATAGCAGAAACAATCCTGGGTAGTAAAAGCAAAATAGGAAGCATCACAATCTTGGATTTGAAATCATATTTATAGAGCTTCAGTAATAAAATCTGCATAGTGTTGGCACAAAAAACAGGTGTGTGGATCAGTGGGACAAAATAGAAGCTGAGGAAACAAACATTCAACTTTTTGATCTTTGACAAAAGGGCCAAAAACACACTGGGAAGATGAACTTTTTAATAAACTGTGTTAAAAAACAAAAACCCTGGTATGTCAGTGGCATAAAGCACCTGTCTGAAGTGCAAGGTTGTGAATTTGCTCTCTGGTAAAAACAAAACGAAACGAAACAAAACAAAACTGGATATCCACATGCAAAAGATTAAATCTAGACCCTTATCTCTCACTGTGTCCTAAACTAAATCAAAATGGTTTGAAGAACTAAATGTTAAAGCTGAAATACTTAATTTGCCTGAATATAAAATGGGTAGAACTTTTGAAGTTGCAGGCATAGGCAAGGACTTTCTGAACAAAACCCTTTTTGCATAGTAAGTAGTACTGGAGAACCAATAAACAGGATCATATTGAATTAATTCCTTCTGCACAGCAAAAGAAACAGTCAACAGAGGGAAAAGCAACCTATGGAATGGGGAAAAAAATTTCTGGGTATTCTCCAGACAGAGAACTAATAGTGAGAATATATAAAGAACTAAAAAAATTAGACTCCTCAACATTAAATAATCAATTATCAAATACATCACTCACTGGCTGTTAGACAACTGCAAATTAAAACAACACTGAGATTCCATCTTAATTCCAGAAAAAGTGGCCACCATCAAACAATGAGATAATAACAAATGCTGACAAGGCTACAGGGAAAAAGGAAACTGGTTAAAATTACCATTCTTTTCTCAAAAAGATCACAAACATTTAAAATTCTTTGTTCCGTTCATCATGAATTATGATTTCCCTAAGCCTGTCCATGGACCTATGAAGGCAACTCATGTTAAAATTCTTTATATGGGGCCAGGGATATATCATCCAAATGAGCTGTCCTGCAATAGGTTGAGTACACCAACCTAAGACTTCTATAGGTGATTAAAGCTATAGGGTGGATGAGATAATTCAAGGAGATGGTACAGAGTTAGAAAAGGCAGGCTCTGAAGAAAACTGATTAAAAAATAATACTTAAGGAAGCTCCAGAGAAATAAAAGCCTTTAAAGAAAACTGAGAAGAGACATATTCATAGGATGAATCAGTTATACAGAACAGAGAAGGGTCACAGAGAACAAGCAGTGGCAGCCTCAGGACTGAGTATTCATATGAGGTCAACCAAAAAGAAGTTGGCACAGGTTCCATTCCATATGGCAGTTAGCAGGCCTGGCAGTCTTGGCGTAAGCTGTTTCCCCAGAATAGAGGGGACACAAACCAGGTCAGACTAAGTCAAAGAGGGCATGAGAGTTTGGCTCAAAGAAGAATGTGCAAGAAAAGGCAGCAGCTAGATGCTTTAGTTAATTTTGAAACAGTGTGTATGTTGTGTGTGTTTCTGTCTAAGACTGAAAGAGAAATGAGTCTGTGCTGTGGGAAATGATACTGCAGTTAAAGAGGATGGACAGTGGAGGTGGGCACAATAGATGGAGTTCTTACAGGGAACTGACAGACTGGGATGCAAACTGCCAACCTAACGGATGTCTAAGCCTTTCATGGGGGCAAGGGCTTTCCTTCTCTGTGAATGCAGATCAGGCTGAGAATAATTATGGGAATATTGCTCAAGGGAGAGTCAAAGATCCTTATGCCTGTTTACAGTACAACTTTTTTTCCTTTGTGATTTAAGAGAAGTATTTTTTTAAACATCCTCCAAAAAAAAAAAAAAAAAAAAATCCAAGAAGCCCACTTTTAAAGTTGGAGGCCACCGATGAAGTTAATCAGTTCCAGAGTGTCAAAGTTTTCTTCAGTACTATTCAGCTGGACATAGGAACAAAAACAATGGTTAATGTGAGGCTGGGGTTTGGTTAAGCAGGCAGGACAGAAGAACAGAAGGCAAGGGAGCTGAGGGTACAGTGGACCCCAGTAACTAGGGAACAAAGGGAATCTGGGGAAGCCAGATACGTAGGAAAGTGCGACTGTGAATGACAACAAAATTACGTTTGCTTTTGAAAGTCATTGGATTTAAGGGTTTCAGACACGGAGCGGTTCTGTGCCATCTGTCCTTGGGAATATGAAGCTGAGGCAAGACTCCAGACTGAGAAAGTCTGTGAATTATGAGGTCAGCAAGTAGATACATATGAATACGAAAATGCTCAGCATCATGAGGATACCTTGAGGGAGGAGAAAACTCGGGCAGAGAGAAGAAAGGTTCACATATATGATCCTGCATCATCTATGTTTGAGAGGTGTCTTAGTTACTTTTTATTCTCATTGCTGAGACAAAATATCTATGCCCGAAGTTAGGGAAGGAAAGGTCTATTTCTTATAGTTGTTGGAGGTTTCAGTCCATACTAAGCTGACTCCAAGTGACAGGATAATACTGCTGGGCCGCCATTCTCGGCTGTCTGCAAACAACAAGTCAAGGGCGAGAGACATGCCTTCTTCCTGCTGTTACATCATATCCTGGCTCCACCTCTAGGCGGTGTAGCACTCACACCACCAATCCGAGCACTAGACAACAAACCAATCACAAATGCTAGATTTGGTCCAGTCCATAATTGCATGAGGCTTAGGGGCCACTGACCTAAACCATGATAAGAGGTTAAGCAGCTTCCTTTACAGATGTGGTACTGTAATATCTTTTTGCTTCTTCTTTTTGGTATTGGGTATAGGACCTGTGGTCTTGTTCAAGTTTAGCATGTGCTCTGCCATTGAGCTGCAACATCAATACTGGTTGTGTAATGTGCTTGGAGGAGAATGCAATTTCAATATGAAAAAAGAAGCAGGAGGCATCCTGTTTAGCAGTTAAAAAATAAGGAGATTTGTTAACTATAACAAAGTGCCTTAGAAAGTAGAGAGAAAAGGTTTGGGAATATGAATAAAATTCTTGTGGCAAGAAATAAAAACATTTCCAAAAAACCATTGAACTTTTAAAGCCTGCATTTTCCGGACTTGCCCAGAAGGCCTTGTTTGCACAGCACCCATTAACCTCTTCCAGAACTAGTGTGTATGGATTGCAGTTTAGGACACATTGGAACGTGCTCGAGGAGAAGAGTCCACAGTGGAACTTGCGCAAAGTCACAGTAAGCACAGCTCTCCAGGTATCTGGAGAACAGAGTTTCAACAAAAATGAACCAGCTTCAAGGCCGCCCAATTCCTTGAGTTTTTGTCCATGACCATTTGTCTTTCTACGCAGCCACACGTAGAAAGCTCTGTGAAATAGAAGACAGTTATAATTTCCTTGAAGCTCTACATTTATTAGTAAAAGCTAACTAAATATTTTGTTCTATCAGTGCTTGAAGCGAGAAAAAAAAACTCTTATCATTTTAAATGTCTCTCTTCTATGTTTGTTTTGTTGAGAATTTATTTTTTCTTTTAGGTTTTTGACCTGATGTTAAATACTCAAATGTGTTGATGCTTTTATGAATTTTTAATAGTAGCTATTACTTCCACCTTCCAATAATTCATTTACCTATTTACTTTTTCTTTATTAATATTGATACAATGGTCCCAAACTAAGAGAGGTAAAAGAAGCTATTTCAAATTGATTATTATAGTATTTTTCTTAATTACTGGAGATTTAAAATGTAAGAATAGTAGCAAAGAGTTGAAAAATATTATCTAATTCATTTAAAGATTTTTTTGTCAAAGTAAAAATTTCAAAAGTTACTTAAGGTATAAAGTACATATGTAGCTAAAAATATTACAATTATTAAATATTCCCTTTAAGAATTATATAATTACCTTAAACAAGAAATACAGTATTATATATACAAAGTAATATGTAGTACAGATGTATCTAGAAATGTAAGAATTTAATATTATAAAATATTATGAGTACAATTTTCCATATTTATAATTATATAACAGGCAAAGAGAAGGATATATATATATATATATATATATATATATTTGCTTAAGTTTACACAAGATAAAAGTAAAATACTACACCATTCCACTGTAGTATATAAAAGCAAAGTTATAAAATAACTGTGAAGTATAACATTTGCTTGTGTTATAGTTATGAATCATACTTGTATTTTTAAGAAAATTTAATGTTATATGTCATCTATTTATTACTACTTTCCTAGTAACAAATTGTCATCACCTCAGTACAAGAAAAAAAGAATAAGGACACTCTTAGAAACTCTGAACTGATTGTACTGTCCTCCAGTATTAGTGGGGCTGCCTTGATTTAGAACAGAATCCCAAAATGTATTGCTGAGCTCTGCTTTCCTTTGATAATGACATTTCAGAATGTAATATAAACCCAGAGTCGTATTGGGCATTGCCAGCTCACTTTTCTCACTACAGAGATGAAGATACAGATGCTCAGAAATAGACTGTCATGAAAAGACCACGAGGAAAACTCAGGGTCGAAGAGAACTCCAGGAAGCCACACAGTGAAATCAGAGACTTTACTTCTCCAGTTACCTGCAACTCTTCAGTGTCAGATTGGTTGATTTGGAAAACAATGTTTGATAAACCTTTATGTAACACTGAGAGTCATCTCATGTCTCCTGGACTCAGGACTTAGTTTAACACACTGTGTTGGACTTTTTTTTTTTTTCCTCTCCAGTCAGTCTACTTTTGTAGTTCGAAAAAAAAACATTTGCTTTAGCTGTTTGTTCAGTTAGGTGAAGAAGTAAAACAGATCAAACTGAAACCAGTCTTGCCACGTACATACAAGGAAATAAAACCCTATAGTAGGATGACTTGATACACTTTTATTTATTTCTACTTTGAAGAAACAAGTCTGATTTAAGGGTTTTGAAGTTCATGGTCTTATTCCCCATATTGTGTAGGTCATGTTTCATAATTTAACATTATTAGAAATTTCAATGATTGTTTTTAATTATATAGACTTCAAGGAGACAACCTGGCAGAAAGGACCGAAGGGACATTGCCCGTACTTCATTCTCCAGATGACATAATTCCAGATTCATTGGGTAAGTTTTCAACCCAACAATATTTATTATAGTTTTAGTTCAAGTTTAATGATTTGAATGCAAGAGTGAAATCACACTAAACATTTTCCGTTCACAAGTTCTCTGTAGCTAGTCACGTGCTCACCATCAACACACTTCTTTGGACTGTGTGCTGGGAGGTGAAGAGCAAGGGAGAGAAAAAGCAGGAAATGCAGACTGAGGACCAGCAACTGTATGTTGGTTGCTCTCAGAATTCTGTCACTAATTTCAAGTTGTTCTTAGAACTTTACCTGTTTATAGCAAATGAAACTTGGTATCTGTCCCTTGACATTTGAATAGCTTCGACTTCCATTCTCAGATCACTGATCCATTCCATATTCTCAGGGGACAATGTCAATACCATACTGGAAAATATCGTATACCTTCTCTTCCATCCTTGTGTTTGTTTGGCATTGAATTATGGCTACTTCAGAATTTCCCCAGTCAGATTTTTCACTTTTCCTGATAGTGCACGGTCTATGCTTTTCTACTCTTTCACCATCTAGTGTAACAACCTACGTTCCCCATCTTTGCACTCTCCCCAGTTCACTTTTTCTTTACTATTTTTCTATAGATAAAGCTCTTTAGTACATACCCATTTTCCATATGGGGAAATGGAAACTTCATAACTTATGATGTTAATGTCAGAGCACTTCAGAATGCTTCCTCAATAAGTAAACAATTGCATGTAATGCAGCTCTAGGGACACCTAAGATACATCACTTCTTTAGTCAGTGTCCTAGCAGGATGCTTAGTACCTCTAATAAGGATAAAAGGAAAACTAAATATTTTACCTAAACCTGGATACAGAAGGACATCCTAAACAAGTCACAAAAGGTCCTAACCATTAGGGCTACAACAAAGCAGCATTATACTGTACACTTCAAAGAGCTTGTATAAGGGGTTTTGAATGTTTTTTACCATAAAGAAATGGCAAGTGAGGAGGTAGATATGTATAACCTGAGGTTAATATGACATGATATATACATACATTGAAATATCCAATTGAAACTTATTAATACATAGAATTTTTGTTTAATAATTTAAAATAAATTTAATTTAAAATTTAAACCTATTTTTATAAAAGAAAAGTAAAAACTCAACTAGAGAAAATTAAAAATTCTTGCACCTCAAACTATGCGTGAGACAAAAATTGGAAAATATAAAAAATTAATATTCAAAATAGCAAAATACAATTTAATAAATCCATGGAAAATAAAAGACAAATATAAATAGATATTTAATAGAATAGAAAATAATAAATATAATAAACATGATATGTTTCATAATGAGAGAAAGACAGATTCAGATCACGGTAAGATTCTGGTTTGTGACTGTTTGTTTGGCATTAATTAAGAAAGCTGGCAAAAATACATGATAGTGAAAACACAAGTGAAAGAAAACTCATACACTACTTACAGGATATAAATAATTCTGGAAAAGTTTTCCATTCTGTTAAATCTTGAGCATTTACGAGGTGTGATCAAACTGATGAATATTAAAATAAAAATTATTACAGTAAAAGACACTGACCTTTCCCCTATGAGTACTAGCTTTTGCTTTAATCGTGCTTGTCCCGTTGTTCTTTCTGCTTTCTGAAGCAACTCTAGAAGTCTGGTTTTATGAGTATCTTTGTAAGGTGTGATTAAAAGTACAGTGAATACTGCTTACAGTGCCATCTAATGGAAACTCAGGCCCATAAAACCAGTATAGTGTGTCCTCATTCACCTTTTTCACTGGACCTGGGACTGAGGAAATTCTACTCTTCAAAGTCAAATGACCAGAAAACGTAAAAGTTGTTACTCAATTGAAGACCTCAGAGAAGCCGGCATAGTGCAGCTAAAGGCATGAAAGACTTCCAAAACTGCTTCAGAAAGTGGTAAGGACTATAAGTATACTCAAAGCGAGGGGAGAATATTTATAGGGTGATTAATTTATTCCTCTAACCACTGAATATTTTTGTTTTATTTTCATAATGTCTGCTGACTCTAACTAGCTTGTTAAATTAGTGTCTTAGCATTATATTTGCACTGCATTTGGCAGTCTATTTAACTTAGTAACTTTTGATATGTAAACTTTCAAATATTCTGACAGTACTTCACAGTTGTCTATTTCTGCTAATTTCAATGGAAATTACCATGTTCCAGATATAATCAATTATGGTACCAACAGCTAACAAGAATTTAACCCAAACAAGCACAGAACAGAATGTAAATCATAAAAAATTCCTAATACCTTCTGTTTTTTTGTTTTGGTATTGAATATCAAACTCATGACCTTGCACCTACCGGGAAAGAGCTTGAGCCACTGAGCTAAATCCCCAGCCCTTAATACCTTCTGTTATTACCACCTGCTTATTTTTATTTAAAAAAAAAACACTATTGTAAATGTGTTAAGTAAATTCTATAAGAAAAATGTCATGGAAAATTCCATTAAATGTATTTTGAAATCACTTATTAGGGTGCCTAGCATACAGTATTTGTTGAATAAATAAATACACAAAAGTACAAGTAAATGTTTGAATGAGTGGATTAATATACATCCACATGAATAATTGAGCAGTAAGACAAAACCTCTTTAAAATCATTAGCCATGGTACTCGCTGATAGGAACTTGTGTCTTAGTTACTTTTTCGTTGCTAGGACAAAATATTTGACACTTGGAAGTTAGCAAAGAAAGAGTTTATTTTAGCTCACAGTTTGTGGAGGTTTTAGTCCATAACTGGCTGGCTCCAAGCCAGGGTCGCATGTAGAGCAGAAAGAGTTCATGATGGAGCAGACAGGAAGCAGTGGACTTTTGTTTCCATTTTTATTCTATACAGATTACAAGGTTACTGGTTGGTACTCCCCACACTTCAGGGTGGGTCTTCTCTCTTCAGTAAATCCATCATCCCCATCCAGCACTATGCTAAAGCTGTCTAAAAGGGCTAATCCCTGTCTCACACACGTGATCCAGTCACTCTAAAAAGCCACACCTAGTAGCACAGAAATCTTTGGTGGCGGCAACTAGATATAAATAATACCTAACATTCTGCTTCTGGTCTTCAAGAGACTTATGAACATCCCTTTATGAAAAATGCTTTTAGTTCATCCCTAAGAGGTTGCTGAAGTGCTAAGTGTTTCAGTATCACAGAAAAGTCCAAATCCAAATTCTTCTCTGAGATTTAAGGCAAACTCTTAGTTGTAAACACCTGAAAAATGAAAAAGTTAAGTGCTTCCCATGGCAAAAGTGAAATATTTCTATTCCAAAAGGTATAAATAAGGGGGTAGAAAGAAATGGGACAAAAGAAAGACCAAAATCTAGCAGGGACAACATTAATTCTGTAGTTCTGTATCCAGCACCAGGGGCAATCTGTGGCAGGACAGGAGCTCCAAAGAGTGAGTAAAATGTTCCACCCCTAAAGCACTTCCAGCGGTTGGAGACCTAATGGCTTCTCTTAGGCTAGCTTTGCTTATACCTTGTGGCATCCCTCTGAAAATCCACATTCCTGGCTTCTCCATCCTCCTGGGTTCTCGGCGTGACCTTTGACATCACACTCACAGCTTTATACACTGCTCTAGAGGTCACACTGCCTGCCCTCCCTAGCCTTCTTCTAAATCTAGGTAGATATTTTCCTGATCCCACAACTTACATTCTGCATTTGCCTAAAACCGGTACTATGCAGATAATACCAAGGTCTGCTGCCAGATGGAGCAGTAGCCAGGTTTTTGGTGTGGGTGTTGAGTACTTGGATTGCTAAACTTAATAAACTCAAAAGAACAAAATCCCCAGGCCACCACTATTCTGGAATGTGATACCCTGGGGCTCTCTTCTCAAAGCAAAATCTTTCACCTTTGCAATGTTGAGGCTGAAAAGATGAATCTTTCTGGATCTTATGATACCTTCAGGCCATTTTTTCTGTTGTACTGTTCCAAATTGCTCATCTTTTTAGCGCTTACCTCTTCAGCAACAAAGTTCTCTCCTCTCCTCTACCTTTGCAGCAACAACTTTACCAGAGTTTCTTTTCCGGCCACCCTTAAAAGTTTTAAAATCATTCTGCTGGTCCATTTGCTCTTGATTCTTGAGATACAACTCACTACACAGTAGATTTGCTTGTAATTTCTTCCACTAGATTAATTAGTCTGCTGCTCCTAGTCTCTGTATCCTGTAGAGTCTCTGGACATCGGTGAAATGTACATAACTTTCCCATCACGGTATAATACACATGTCATGGAGTCCAGCTGCCAATACAGTCCTTGTTTCAACTCAAATTTCTTGAGCCTGGTCTTCATTAGCTGCACTTCTAACATCATTCTGGTCTTCTGAGCTCTGACCAAAATCTCTCACTGAGCTCAGCTCACGGCATTCTGTGGCTGCTTCTCCAGCTGGCATTGCCAAACCTTCCCAGTTCTTCCCAAAGCCAGTTCCAATAGCTTCTGAACCACATTGTTAGTGTCACAGCAATGACTCCTCGTTTAGGACCAAAATTTCTCTTACTTACTTTCTTGTTACTGGCACAGAATGTCGAACACCCACAAGTTAATAGCGGGAAGGTTTATTTTAGCTCATGGCTTACAGAGGTTTCAGTCTGTAGTCAGCTGGCTGGAAGGTAGGGTGGTGTAGTAGAGGAGTAAGTTCATGGTGGGTTTAGCAAAAAGCAGCATGACTTCTTTCTTTCCTTTTTATTTTCCCATCCAGGCTACAATGCTACAGATTGGTACCTCCCACACCCAAAGCAGGTTACCCTTCTTCAGTAAATCTGCCAGCCACACCTAGAATTATGCTAAACCAATCAGTGGACTAAGCCAATGTCACACACTCAGGATCCAGCCATTCTCTAAAGGCTACCATGTTTCCCCACAAGTCAGACCTATCTAGAAAATAAGTGCTGGTCACAACCATAGTGATGGCCAGTGTCATGCAGAACACTGTGTCTCACTATTCTCTTGCTTGCTAGGTATTCCGTACTAGCAGGTAAGAAAAGGGGTTTGGGTTGGCACTTTTGATCTCTAGGTTTCAAGGCTGACTTATTTTCTTGTTAGGTCTTATTTTGAAGGAAGCATGCTATAAGCGCGTGAAGCTTTAGGGAAACATCTAGATACAAGTCATACCACCTTGTGAACACACTATAGTATTTTTAAGTTTTAGAAATCATCAGATTTACAAGTGTGTGGATTTTCCCTTTCTAAACATGTTATTTTGTAATGCAGAATAGAACATTTTAATATTATCTATCTGTTAAATCAGTGTTACCCAAGAATTTCAACATATAAAACAGAAAACAATGAGTGAATTCTAAAATTCCAATAGTATTTAGTCACAGCTCTGTATGATATAAGCCTCTGAGGATAGAAATTAAGCACAATTTATCTCCTAATTTAAAGTATATCATCAACTCTTACAACTTGGTTTTACTGGATAAGGATTCAACAATTCTTTGCAAATGATTACTATGTTTCAACTTGGAGAATTCTCATTATGTATCCGGATTTTATCAACTAAAATTTGTTTCTTTTAAATGCCCTTACATTTAGAAGAATGGCAGATTAAAAATTATCTACAATTTGAGAATGCAGGCTTTTATCAAATTCAGTTTTATAGTAGCAGGCATTCTGTATTCTAAAACAAAATCTACATTTTTTATATCTACATGAACTATGTTCTCTGCGATTTTGTAACTTTTCTACTTGAATATAAAATTCTGAATCCTCTGAGATAAAGCAAGCTGTGGTTTTTAAAAGTTATGATTATAGATTTATGCCAAATTTTCCATCGTCTCCCTGTGCCTTGGTGGCCATTAAGAACTAGAAGGATTTAATGCTCTAATTATCCTCCCAGAGGACACATTTCATGGAAAAGAAAAATCTGTCTCCATTTGCCCATGAATCTAAGGGAAATTCTTCCTTATGAGTTCATAAGGATCTCTGAATAGTAATAAATAAATCAATTTTTAAGTCTAGTAGAAATATCTTTTTCTAGTTTCTTCTGCTACTTGGCACCAAAATAAATAAAAATGTTGTAGAATTCTTGTTGTCTCTAAATTATGAAATGTTTTCTTTAGACCTCTTTATGTTCCAAATTTTCTTTAAAATTATTATTTAACACAATATATTTAAAAAGGAAAAACATAAAATATCTTTCTCTATACTGGCTTTCTATTTCAATACAAGGAGTTAAAATTCAACTTAGGAAAGTTGATAGTATTTGTTATGGATTAATCATAGATACTCCATATATCTATCCTTTTAGACTTCTTTATAGCTCCATAAACCCAAAGTGCTATAATTAATTGAATTCAGCAGACATATGGAAAGGGTCATCATCATTTCCCATATTTGAAAATCACCACTCACCCTCCATCCCTTCATTTAGGCTAAATAATCACCACTTATTGTTCAATACTTTAAATGATAAACCTGTCACCATTTATTAATAGGCATCATTTTCTGAACTCTACTTACAATTTTTATCTTATTTAAAAGAGAAAACACAAAATGATAATTACATTGTATAGCCTTTAAAATGTAGACAGTTGATGGATAAAGCAATAATCAAATGAATTTACAAAACTTAGGAATATTAGAGCTGATACTGTAGCTTGTGATAGAGCACTTAGCATGTGTGAGGCTCCAGATTCAATTTTGATCACTGTAAAGAAAAATAAAATACTACTACTTATCATTTTCATAAACTATCTTTAAGCTAAATAAATGTTATTGTACACTCTTAATTCAGAACATCTGATTTTTCAAACATTAGTTCAGTCACTTTAATGTTCATCAATGTGTTTATGTATCACAAAATTAATAAACAATAATGAAGATATACTTTATTCTTTTCTGAAAATTTAAATAGATTCTTTACCTGGAACTGAAGAAGCACTGATGGAAGAGATTGAAGATTTTGAGAAAGCATCTAAATTAACAGCACCTGTAAGAATATTTATTTATTTATTCTTAAATTTCTAAAATAATGTATACCACTAATGGAAAAATATAGAAGGAGTATAAAGTAACATTCTTTAAGTAAAACAATAGTTTTAAATGTGTATACAGTATTCTCTGTACCGTTATAGACTGCTTGCATCAGTAGTAAGCCACGATATTACATGTATATCACAAGTCTATATTAAAGTCTGTCTGCAATTGCAAAGACTTGACTCAGATAGGAAAGTTAAATTCTGGTATGATTAACACTTACTTGTGCATATGAACATTTTCAAAGGTTATTAGTTAGTATCTTAAAGCTCTCATATATACAAAAAAGACGTCATGAGATTAACACAATTTGCCTTTGGCCTCGATTTCAAGAGGTGCTCAAAGTGGTGACCAATAGCTTCCAGCCCTTTATTAGTATGGTGAACTGCTTAGTTAACCTTGGCTACTGAGATTCCTCCACATGCATTTTCAATTTCTTCTCTAAAAGCCAGCAGTATTGTACATTACGAGGGTAACACTACTTGTTGAAAAACCATCACACTATTTTTCTTTTGCTCAAACTGTGTACATTATTTCGGCAGACTCTGTATATATTATATATGTTTTGCTTATCCTAAAAATTTACATAGTGTTTACACATACTTCTTTTAGTTGTAAAGTCCATTAGATTTATGATTTTTAGGAAATTCAAATTTAAAAGAATAAATGCAGAAAAACTGAAACCTCTATATAAATTCTAAATGCAACACCTATTAAAGATTCTGAGTCCTCTAAAACATATGCTAATGGAATCCTGCATTATCTTAAGTATAATATTTAAACTGTATTCACATAGTATTTCCACGTTCTCTGTGTTAGTTTACCTGGGTTGCCATAACAAAGTCCATGGTACAGAAGTACATTTCTCGCAGTTCTAGAGGCAGACGTGTTGGCAAGGTTGATTGGCCTTGCATGTGGCTGTCTTTTCCCTGAATCTCCACAGCTTCTTCAGTTTCTAAATAATGTGTGTTAATCTCTTTATGAGCAATGATACATCCCCTGTTATCGCCAGCGGTACTGAATTTGGGACCAGTTAATAATATCATTTAACTTACTAGCTTTTTAAAGATCCTATCTTCAAACACATTCTGGGGCTAGGAATTCATTACATGAGTTTTAGTTGAAAGGAATTCAGGTCATATCACTCTGTGATGAGGTTACTTACTTGAAACACCATTTGGGTTGCAAGGTTTTATTAAGGACACCCTCTTTTTTATTGGATTTCAAAGTGAAATTGATTGAAAAATTACTGATGAAATTAGTGTATCTTTCTCATATGTTGCTTTCTCATTGTAGTGTCTCTTCATTTTTGTTCATAGTACTTTACAACTCTGCCATGCTGTGTGATTTCTTTGTTTGTTGAGTATGTTGCCTGTCTCCTTCTAGTATAAAATCAAGTCTGTGAGGGCAAGAATTTGTGTCCATTGTTTTTTTACTTAGAAATGTATCCTTAGGGTCCAGGGGATTTAGTTCAGTCACGTAAGAACCTACCCAGCAAGTGTGAGGTAGTGAGTTTGAACCCCAGTACCAAAACAAAAAACAAAAACAAAAACAAAAACAAAAAAAAAAACAAAAAAAAAAAAGAAAAGAAAAGAAAAAAATAAATGTATCCTTAAAGGTGCACCTACACATATTAGTCTCATTATACATATCTGTTGAGTGAATAATATAGCTTAGTAATAATTCCTTACCATAAAATTAAGCATATTATGTTTTCCCTTACTATACGCTTAGCAGAACCTTAGAAATAGGAACACGGAGACCAGTTAGCTCGGCATCTCTCCTCCCTTACCTTACCTCCCTTACCTAGAAATCCAAGTTGCTATCACACTTAATCTAGAGCAAGGAAATCTGTTTCATAAGGAAAAAAACAGCTCAAAGCTCAGTGACCAGACCAAAGTCTCCAAACTAAAGGAGCAAAGAGATCAGAATTGACCACTAATCAATTTTCTTTCTGCTGCATATTTTGAATATTTCTTATGTGGATTTCTTGGTTTTTTACTCTTAAGAAGCAGTTTGCTTCTAATTGGTAGGTATTTTTTTTTTCCCCTCACAGCTGCTTGTAGCCATTAGCCCTAGTTTTGCTCCTGGAATGACAGTTTAAATCTAAATCCGCTTTCATTTTAACTGATTTTCAAATATTAGGAGCTGTCAGCATGTCTCATCTGAGACTTAAATTTTTCACTCAGTACTCAATTCATTCCTTCAACTAATTTCTCTGAATGTATCTTTGTTTGCCAAATCCCATATAAAATATGAATTATGAAACAGTCAAATCCACAGTTCCAAATAATGTTCCATTTCTGAGAGTACAATGGAGTATATGCTGACACAGATGTTATTTTTGGATTATTACCTAGGGTTGCATTAACTTTTTTGAAGAAACATTCTGGCATTTATAAACTTTAATATGTGTCCATAATCTCTTGGTGATAAATGCACTTTGTCATTAAGGCCTGTCATTCATTACAGTTTTGCAAAGGTTTGTTTTATCAGCTGTGAATTCCAGCAAAGTTCATATTTGTTCCTCATGTCTAAAAGATACTAGTTAGATGTGTTTTCTAATTATTTACGGAAATCAAGATACATCCTGCCCATCACATTTAGTTTGCTTAATAATACCTGATAATCCAAAGGGGGAAGAGAGTTAGTTTTATTTGATCAAACCTTTTGTGAATGATTTCAAATTAGCTCTTAGCAATTTTGCTTTCTTTGCACAGTGCTCACATAATATTTTCTCAGTGCAATTTTTTTTCACAGGTCAGTTTTATTCATTTTAACTTATTTTTTAAAGTTTGAATTCTTGAAAATTCTTCAGTTCCAATTAATGTAAATTACACACATATCTATTTGTCAGTAAGTGTTTAAAAATAGCATAGATAAAATAAATGATTTCAGGCCCCTCAAATTGGCTGTTTCTAGATGTGAGATGCTTTCAGTATGAGGAAATTATAGATTTCAAAAGTTAATTATTCTACAGTAATGAAATTTTAGATTCCCTAAATATTCCTTAAAAATATTTCTGTAATAATTTAGGAATAGTAGTTTAGTAAATCAAGAGAAAAAAAGTCACTTTAAGAATTAATGGAGAATTGGAACACAAAAATTTTTTTTTGATTATAGTAAGAAACAAAATATTTCAAAGCAAACTTTGAATCATATCTGCAAAAATATAAACACTCCCCCAATTCTGAAAATGATTTAAGAGAGTTCCAACATATGCTGTTTCTATTTGCTAACATTTCCTACTGGATATTTTGCATTAATATGTTGGTAACAGACTCTTGAAAACTATTTTTCCCTTTAATTTTAATCTGTGCTTGGAAGATTTCTTAAATGTTTTGTGACTATTGCAGTGAGGTTAAGGTGATGTTTAGACTTAGGTTTTACCTTTCCCCAAATAAGCAAGTCATTCTATAAAGTTTCCTCACTTATTTTTTCTTTATATTCTGATTTGTCTTAGCATACATACAAACCATGTAGAATAAAACTGAATTTGTCTGGGATTGGAGATTTAGCTCAGAGGCACAAGTGCCTGCAAGCTTGCAAGTCCCTGGTTATCAGTTTGATCCCCAGTACCAAAAAAAAAAAAAAAAAAAAAAAAAAAAAAAAACCCAAAACGAATTTATCAAGGAGATTCATTTATTAAAAATGAATTGACAGCGGCTGGGGATTTAGCTCAGTGGCATAAGAACCTGCCCTGCAAGCAGGCGGTCGTGAGTTCGATTCCTGGTACCAATAAAAAAAAAAATGAATTGACAAAAATAAAATTTTGAGAGAAATACCAAGCAATAGGTGATGATAATGGCTGTTTAGTTTCATAAATACAATAACCATTATTTTATAAGGGTGATTGATGAAGCGAACCTTTGAATTTCACAATTCCTATGAGTTTCTTAATCTTAAAAATTCAATTTCCTCAAAGGTATTAAGTAAACATTGACATAAAAGATGAAATGATAATAGGAAAAGCATTTGACATTCAGATCTTACTGACATTCTTTTTTCCTTTGTAAGTTATGTATTTATTCTATGGTAAGTCCTGACCAGGTTTTCATACTGGTTCCCATAGGCATTTCAGTATTAGACCATCATTTCTTACTTGAACTGTAAGAAAAACTATGCGAAAGACCCTCTAAGGAAAATTTCTTAAAATTTCCAGAAGTGTATAGAAGTTTAATTTCTCCTCAGAAAACTTTATGTATTTGGGGAGATATGTAAAATTAACTAGAATAATGACAGTTGTAATGATATCATCTATTTGTGTACTACATTTAAATTATTTAGAAATTTATGTACATTAATACTAGTAGTCTCTGAATCTTTACAATTCTATGACTTGTCACTTTATCCTTGACAACTCTACTGTGATGTAAGTAGTACTTAGTTTCTAATGAGCATACTGAGGTTCTAAAGATCCTGTTCACACACAAAAGTTAAGAAAAAAACTCATATTTCCTAAGCCCCAAATGGTCTGTCACTGAAATTTTCAGGATACATAAAATCATTACTCCTTTAGGTAATAAGTCATTGTTAAAAAGCTCATACATTATGAAAGAAACAAGAATTAAGCCATAACCAGTAGCCAGTGCCAAAGATAGAATTATTCACTAGATTAAGAAGATGATTTAAAAAAATCTGTAGGACTGGATCAGAAGAGATAAATTTTATAAGAGGACAGGATTGAGAATTTGCAGCATTAGAGTTTAGTCTTGCTTCAGTGGTTCACTTTGAGGATGTCTGAGAAAAAAAGTCAGCATATCAAAAAATGATCCTGAAATTGGAAAGATACTGACAATAAAATCAAAAAGGAATAGAAAGCTTGCTACATTTCCTATGGCAAATCTGGTACGAAAAGTTAAACACTCCAGTGATTCTAGAATTATCTTGATAAAGTTTGTCTTAGTCACTTTCTTGTTGCTGGGTCACAATACCCAATACTCACAATTTAAAGG